TCTGGGACCATCTACAGCAATAGTCTTTGTATTGACATCTACTTTGTCTGATATTAATGTAATCATGCTCATCTTATGCTTACTGTTAGTACGGGTAAATTTTTTTTCATCCTTTTACTGCCAGTCTGTCATTTGTCTTTGGTATATATTTCTTACAGGCAGCAAATAACACTATTGAGCTATTGTTTAAAAAATGACAGATATCACACACAAATCTGAATCTCTGGCCTCTCTTGAGAACTAGAAGATCTGGCAATAACAAGCTGCATTCCCATATGGCAACATATGGTTGAGCAGCTGCTGCCCCCTATAGAGTTGGAATATTCTCTCCAGTTTGCCATAGTCCTCACTCTTCCCTAATGTTTCCCAGGCACTGGGGCTGAATTGCCATTTTTCAATGGGCTGTTGTTGTTCTTCTCATAGAAGAGAAATATTTCTTCAGGTAAATATTTCCACTAAAATATTAAGACAAAATGTAAATAAGAAGGCTGTGTGTTTAAAGACAAAAAGGAGATGACATAGACCTGGCCCACTTTATTCATGATGTGACCTGTCTGGCCCCCATAGGCATTTGAGTTTTCAATTCTTGTTGTAGTAAATATTCAGGTTGTTCTGTTTGAAATTATCTAACTTTGAGGGTTATAATTAAAAAAAGAGAGGATGGTTTAGCCTATACATAGGCATTTTCTTTTACAAATGGCTGTTCTCTCCCTGTAAATGCTTTTCAAAAACAATTTCAAGTCTACACTAGTGTTTATATAATGAATATATGCTCACAAATGAAAAGATAACTTTTTTTATTGAGCTAACATTGGTGTATAACATTATATGTTTCATGTGTACAACATTATAATTTGACTTCTGCGTACACTACAGCATGCTCACCACCGGAATCTAGTTTCCATCCATCACCATACAACTGAGCCCCTTTACTCATTTTGCCCTCTCCCCAACCCCCTTTTTTTTTACGGTAACCACTAATCTTTTTTCAGTATTAATGTGTTTGTTTTTGTTTTGTTTTGTTTTGCTTGTTCATTTATTTATTTTTTATTCCACATATGAGTGAAATCATGGAGTATATATCTTTCTCTGTTTGACTTATTTCACTTAGCATAATACCCTAAAGGTCCATCCATGTTGTTGCAAGTGGCAAGATTTCATCTTCTATTATGGCTGGGTAGTATTCCATCACCTATATATATATACCATATCTTCTACATCCATTCATCTGTCAATTGGTACTTAAGTTGTTTCCAAGTCTTGGCTATTGTAAATAGTGCTGCAATGAACATAGGGGTGCATATATCTTTTTGAATTAGTATTTTCATGTTCTTCAAATAAATACACAGACGTGGAATAGCTGGATCATATGGTAGTTATATTCTTAATTTTTTGAGGACTCTCCATTCTGTTTTCCATAGTGGCTGCACCAATTTACATTCCCACCAATGGTGTATGAAGGTTCCCTTTTCTCCATGTCCTCTCCCACATTTGTTATTTCCTATCTTTTTGATAATAGCCATGCTAACAGACATGAGGTGATATCTCGTGGTTTTGAATTGCATTTCCCTAATAATTAGTGATATTGAACATCTCTGCATGTGTCTGTTGACCATTTGTATGTCTTCTTTGGAAAACTGTCTATTCAGATCCTCTGCCCATTTTTAAATCTGGTTGTTTTTTTATTGTTGAGTTTTATGGGTTCTTTATATATTTTGAGTATTAACCCCTAAGATAACTTTACTCTGGTCAATAATACCCAGCCAGAACAATGCTCTGATTGTCAAAACATGTCTCCATAAGTAAAATACAGCAGTTGAGCCAATAGTTAGATTCCATCTCTTCTGCCTTGGCTTTTGATGGAAATAGGTCATTGAGAGATTAACTCCTGCTTCTGATATGAGTTTTGTGGAGAAAGACCAGTGTGAATGGTCTTTTATGCTAAGATGGACAGAAATTGGAGAAACATTCGAAAAGTTCCACGTCTTGGTCTCTGGCTAGGGCTGCCTGCAGCTCTTGTTACATCCCCACTTTGAGGAGGATGTTCTAAAACTCAACCCTATTCCCTCTGTTCTCTCCAGGAAGGGCAAGATGAGGCCTTGCACAGCTAGGCCAGGGCCCAGAAACACTATTAGAAGGTTGATTGCTTTATTAGATTGCTCTAAAATTCTGTGAAATAAATTCAAAATACACTACTTGGGTCATAACACAGAAGCTTCCAATCTTCTAGATGCTGGTGCCCCTATAGCTTCACTTTCTAGGTGGTCTTCATGGATGATAGTGGTTTGGAGGCTGTGATGGGAGTTGTGACCCACTCCATTTGAGACCATCACTTAAGAAGGGCCAGAACCACACTGGATTCGTTTTCTGGGTGAGACACATGGCTGCTTCTCTATTTCTTTCCCTGGGCCTTGAATCTGAAGCTTTTTGAATCCTGTAGGCATTTAGACCAATTACTTTTCTAAAATAGAGGCTGAGTACCTCTCTTTCCTCTATAGCTCCTTCCAGCAATTTTCCATAATCCTCGGAGTAGAGAATGTTCTATCACATCTGTCCCCAGATTCTATTATCTACATGTTGCGATATTTGTGCATTTTGCACAAGATCCCTGGGGTTTTTCTGCCCATCTTTTCTGTTAGTTTGGTCATTCTGGGGATGTGCAGGAAAGAGACTGGGATAACCTGGCTCTCTGAGTGGGGAGATTTCTTCCTCATGGTGAGGTTGCAGGGTGTGTATGTGAGGTGAGGTTGCAGGGTGTGTATGTGAGGGGATCAGGAGGGGAAAGTTGAAGAGATGGCCAATGGAGCCTCAGAACTGGGGAGGTAGAAGGTCATCAGCCTAAAGGCTCGGCGATTTGGGCTCAAGTCCTTCCTCTGCACATAACAGGCGTGACACTGGACTAGTCAATTAGCCACTGTGGGTCTCAGTTTCCACACCTGTAAGTGAGCGACATTGGGGAGGAGTCTATGGCTCTCATATATAGGTCTCTCCAAATAGACTATGAGCTGCTTGAAGTTAGGCTATGATTTCTACATCTTCATAGTCATGATGCCCAGTGCAGGGTCTAGCACATAATTGTGTCCATTAGGCATGAATTTGGCTACAAGTAATAGAAACTCACTAACAGTGGAATGCATCAAGGTTTATTTTCTCCTGTTACAAGAAGACTAGAGCTGTGCTGGTGCTGGTTAAGGTGCTCAATGAGGCATTTTTTCCTTTAGTTTTTATTTTATTTTGTTTTCTTTTTTTCAGTGAGCTTCTTGAGGACCTAGGTTCTTCCCATCTTCCGTCCTCCATCCTGTGCATCTTGGCTTTTGCTCTCATTCTTGCCAACTCATAGTCCCAAGGTAGCTGCCACATTGCTAGGCGTCAAACCCACGTTCAAGGCAAAAGGAAGGGGAAAGAGGTGGCACTGGCCATCCTGGCCCTTTTATAATGAAAGTAAAAGTTTTCCACAAGCCACATCAGGTTACGTCTCGTTGGCTATAACTGGGTCACATGAATGCTAGCTGAAAGGGATACTGGGAAAGCAAGTGTCTGGCTTTCCAGCTTTTAAAGTAGGAGGCAGCAAGAAGAGTGGTAGATATGGCCATTGGGCTCAACAAATATTCTTTTTTTTTTTTTTGATGAGAAAGATTGGCCCTGAGCTAACATCTGTGCCCATCTTCCTCTATTATGTATGTGGGTCGCCACCTCAGCAAGGCCTGATGACTGGTGCATAGGTCCATGCCAGACCCCGAACCTGTGAACCCCGGGCCGCCAAAGCAGAGTGCACGAACTTAACCACTACACCACTGGGTCGGCCCCTCAACAAATATTCTTAAATAAATATGACTAGAAAGTAAGCTGAAAAATGCTTCTCTTTCCCAAGTGGAGTGTACAATGCAATTATTTGGAGAAAATAAACACTACATTTGATATGCTTTTAAGTTATTCACACTGCTATCTTGTTTTTATGCGCCAGAGCGGGAATGACCTGAGTTTTCTCTCTCAGGTGTGGGCAGGATGTGGACCTAGAGGCAAGGCCAGAGTCCATGGGGAACCGAGCTTGGAGGGATCTTACTTTGATGTTTTCCTCAGACAAGACTTTACTTCCATGTCCTACTGCCGGTCATTCTCCTCACGTGGCCAGCCAACTGTAACTAGCTGAGAAGTTCCTGGTTCTGACTGGTTTGATTACCTTCTGATTCACAGACATGGTCCCGACATTTGAACAAAAGAATGACATATTCATAGTGAAAAGAAAACTTGCCAGAATGTGGCATGGGCACAGAATGTAATCTTTCTTCTTCACCAATGAAAAAGTGCATATAAATTGCTTAACAATTGCCCAGCACACAAGAGGCACTTAATGTTAGGTGTGGTTATTTTATGACTATTAATAAGAATGATGCTTTTTTCTCCCTGCCTACCTTGCCAATAAGGATCTCCTTTTTCCATATTACCCAGATGTGTCTGGACAAAATGACAGGATCCAAGGACCCAGCCCTGTGGAGTAGTGGTTAAGTTCAGCCCACTCTGCTTCGGCGGTCTGGGTTCGTGGCTTCGGATCCTGGGCGTGGACCTACACCACTCGTCGGCCATGCTGAGGCGGCGACCCACATACAAAATAGAGGAAGACTGGCACAGATGTTAGCTCAGGGCTAATCTTCCTTAAGCCAAAAAAAAAAAAACAGGATCCAAGATTGAACTATGCAGTTCCCCTGT